TGCTGGAGTCCCTCAGGTATCTGTTTTAGATCCACTTTTAAATCTATAAATGCTGGAGTCCCTCAGGGATCTGTTTTAGGCCCTTTCTATTTCTGTCATATATGTAGCTGATGTTGTTACCAGTGACTTAAAATTGTTTGCAGATGATACCTCGTTTAGTGAACTTATTGATAATAATCAAATTGTTATAGCCAATCAAACTTTCAGAAAACCTGTCAGATATTAGTCCTTGGGGTAAGAAATGGGATATTAAACTTAAACCTACAAAAACTGTATCATTGATATTCCCTAGGACATGAAATGTCATGCACCCCGATATATACTTTAATAATAGTCCAGCTCAATCTCCCTCTACTCATAAACATGTAGGCATAATATTATCCGGTGATGGTAAATGGATTCATCATATCTATTACATATACCAGAAAGCATTTAAAAGGATAAATAAATTAAAATCATCGAAAAAACGAGTTTCAAGAAATAGTCTTTTAAATATATATAAAACCTATATTTTACCTATTTTGGAATATGCAGATATCTTGTGGAATAATGGCACTGCGCAATCTAAACAGCTATTAGAGTCTCTTCAATTGGAAGCTGCAAGGATTATAACGGGATTTCGAAGAGGTACATCCCATATTTTAGCAGCTACTTTCCTAGTACATATAGGTAATTTAAATTTGGCTTATCTAATGTTACCTCTCTTGAACAATTATAAAAACTCCTTTTTAATGACAATAAATCAGCATCTGGTTCAGCAACTACCTTTGTAAACGATGGTTGCTGAACTATAAATATTATTATATGCCAGCTTAGAAATTTAACCTGCAACCTTAACTCTGACCTATTTTGTGATCATGTAACCTCGGGAGTTACAACAGCAGAATATTACTTCCTTATATGTCCAATGTTCAACGAATCAAGATCAAAACTCAGAAACCGACTTATTAACCCTATTATTTCACAAGATCATTTTAATTCTAGAACCTTATTACACGCTTGTCATGATCGTGATGAAGAAACAAATTCATAATTATTACAATGTATATCAGAATACATTACTAAAACCGGCAGATTTGATTAAAGTACCATACCGGAATTGCTTGGAAATGGCTTACATAGGCTTTGCCTGATGCCAAATCCATTTGCTTCTTTTTCAATAAAATTTGTTGATATGAAACATCTGACAAGAACGCTGCTTGGCTACCTGGTCTGATATATCTGTGCCAAACCAAAAAAACATCATAATATTTACAAACTTCCATAAATAGGTCTTGTCCTATTGTAACAGCTAAGGTATATGATGGGAAAATCTAGTGAGGCGCTATAACCCAGGGACCCACTCACTAGTTCAGCAACGTATAGCGTAGTCAGTAATTGGTTGGTTGACCGCCAGCACGTTACAATATCATCAATGCTCAGTTTCACATAATCTTGCTTAATATATTAAGCAGCATCACACCATACACAAATAATCAGTTCACAAATATTTGTGGTAGCGCTTTCTGTCTACATTTAAATATTTCAATTGTTATCCGCAGCTATGTACATGTATACGAATATGCTTTAAATTGAATCATATCATACGTAATACATCTAGTGCTTTGATTCTAGATCATCTCTTATACGTGATGCATGTCCAATGCTATGATGTATGTACAGTGACGTGTTTGCTGTGATGTATTTACATATAAATAAATATGAGAAAACATATATTTGTCTTTGTTTGATGAATCATTTTTATAAACATTACCTATCTGACAGCCGCAGTGTGTTGGTTTAGTTCATACAAGTATGGCCTCAAATGATACTGAACTAGAACAGAGGAGATTTCCAGATGTCGAAAAACAGGAAAAGGAATCGCTCAACAATAACGGAACTGTTGAAGGGTTTGAAAGGGAACATTGGTCACATCAGATGGACTCCATGTTTTCATTGATCGGTTATTGTGTTGGTCTGGGCAATATCTGGAGGTTTCCTTATTTCTGTATGCGGAATGGCGGTGGTATGTTCTTCAGTGTTTGTTGTATACAACCAAATGATTAATGACTTTCGCTATCAAAATACATTTACAATATCTTTCTCTTAAAAGACCTGTATCAAAACTACAACATTCCAATGCAAATATCCTACAAAACGTTTGTACTAGAGACTGATAATGAGGGTGTGTGACAGCAATTCACTGTGTTGTAATTAATCTATTATTCAGGGTCATTTCTGCTTGCCTTCCTCTTTTTTCTCGTGGTATGTGGACTGCCGATGTTTTTCCTGGATTTAGCCATCGGACAATTCACAGGAAAGACAGTCTTACATTCCTGGGAAGTTTGTCCGTTGTTAAAAGGTGAACTGATATAATTTTGTTTTTCATTAATGAAATCAAACATTGAACATTTCTACTACGTGTGCGTACTGTATACCCTTTTATGTTGATATTCCAACCGTTAAATATTGTATGTGTATGTTACCCTTTATGTGTGCTATATTTGCCAGTTTGTGGTATACGTCTTATTAATAGCTATAGGGCGTGCCGGGTTTTAGTGGTGGAGGAAAGCCAATGTACCTAGAGGAAAACCACCAACCTGCGGCAGATACCTGGCGATTGCCTCCCGTAGGACTCGAACACGACTAACCCTTCACACAGTGGCGAAGGGTTAGGGATCGTAGATGGTCAGCCTTAACCCCTCGACAACCGCGGCCCCGTATGCTTTATTAATATCTGTATATATTATTCATTTGTGCAAAGAATCTTTGACGTTTGTATGTTATGTTAATTTGTTTATGCTATTTTTATGTGTGTATGCTATATTTTTGTTTGTCACATACTTGAAATTTCTCGCAATCTTTTCGGCCGGATCCTTTACACGTGAAAATTCCTCAAAAAATCATGAAGATAGGTTATTGAAATCCACCGCAAACTGACGTAATGCATGTGCATTTAGACCAGAATGTGATCTTTCAGACGACAAGGCAAGATGGCTGCTGGCGAACGCTTTGCCTCGGTAACAATTGAAAATCGAAAAAACCCACCATATTGGTAATTTATGTATACGTATTGTTCATATGTAATAGATTTATGTTTGTATGCTATGCCCATGCGTGTATGCTATCCTATATCTTTTCTTTCTTTTGTTCAACTCGTGATATTTTTCACACGTAACAAGTTGTTCGTTAACACATGAAGAAAATCTAGTAGTTAGAGTAGCCCAACCAGAACACAAAGGTTTGGTTACAAACCAAAATTAAGCAATACCGATACACCGTATTCTAGTGTTAGGACGCCGGAATCGTAAACGAAGGATTATATATATCCGTGTATGTTCTATTTATGCGTGTATGCTATAATGTATGTGGTAAATAATTAACAAACGGGATCCCAAGTGTTTAATTCGGTAATTGCAATAACGGACGTTTTCATTAAATTGTATAATATAGCAGTGAGAAAAACAAAACTCTATGAGTCAAATTGTAAAATAATGTTTTCTATTGTCTAGAGTAATTGTACCTTTATTGTAACACTAAATCAGTGAAGTAGTGTATTTATTACAGGGATAGGCCCGGGGGTGTTGCTGGTGAATACTGTCATCAGTACGTACTACACGACTATCATCGCCTGGACCCTGTTCTACCTGGGGAAAAGTTTCTACAGCCCCCTACCCTGGACAACGTGTGACAACAGCTGGAACACCAACAGTTGTATCGCCGATACTGTTCCGTCAGCGTCCGTCACCAATACAACTATGTACTTGCCACACGCTTTCGCATATAACTGTTCGACTAACGTAACCAATTCACCGCAGACCATGGTTACTTCGGGAGAAGAGTTTTGGCAGTAAGTACAAAGAGATCTGCACAGTTATATTAACGGTAGTCATCACTACCCTATTTAGAACTATGCTTTCAGTATCTACCTGGATTTAACATTTGTTAACTATCCTTAGATCTTATATGGTAAACTAATACGTTTCTGGATATGTTCTTTACCGTAAGGGTAAGACAGAAGAATCCAAACTCCAATGATGATATTCTTGATTGTCTGAACCGCTGCCTGTTACAGTACTTTTGAATTCAATCTCTTTTTCTCATCCTGTCAAAAAGATATGTTTGTATCTTGCTTGGTATGCTTGCATCAGATGCTAATTGTGACGTCATAAATCATTGTCACCCTGAACTCATCTTATTGTTTCTTTCTGCGTTTCATCTGTCAAACCATGGTGGTAACAGAGCAACGATACTCCATTGAGTGACAGAGAAATCCTGAACCGCTAAAACGGTAGATGCATGTCAGTAAAGGGATCTTGGAAAGATCAAATTTGACAGGTTACTCATCACTGATGCCACTGGTGATGCAGAAAACATTTGTTTTTTTCCGGATTTAAATACGGCTCACTATCCTTCGTTTCGTTCTGATGTTTCCTCGGTTACTGACGGTCACTGATGCTGTCTTTTATGTTGTCTTTGGGCCTTGTGTATGTGGAAGTCTTCAGTTTCCTTTTTGTAGATATATTGCGATGCCTTGTCTCTAGTAAGAAATGTGTTAACGTGAAATATGTGTGCGTTACCAGAAATACCTAAATGAATAGTTCACAAATGTTTTATAGACGCGGCGTTCTAGAGTTATCATCCGGTATAGAGGATCTCGGAGGTATACCCTGGCATCTGTGTGTGAGTTTACTAGCAGCCTGGGTCATACTATTCCTGTGTCTGGCGCGAGGGATTCACTCTTCAGGAAAGGTATTTTAACAGATCTGCATCACACATTTTTTATAGCAATATATCGTGTATGGTCCAACTTTACTTTCTCAATGAAACTCTGTGTACAAGAGACAGTCATCAACATCGCCACTTTTGGTATTTTTAGTTAGGTGGAACATGTTAAATCCAAAAGCCTGTGGTTTCCGGTTGAAGATATTGGTCTTTTTTTCCCTTTTTTCCGAGTTTATAAAATGCTTCGAAGCAAGTTTTGCGACAAAATTTTCTTTTGCTACGTTTTTCTTTGTTAAGTCCCTAACAACAATGTTTTCAACGCATCATTTGCGACTACATAGGTAAACATGGTAACTCTGCAAAAGTTCCTACTTAAATATGATTGCATTATGATCTCAAAGAAATTGCTTGATATCTTCAGGTTGTGTATGTTACCGCCAGTCTACCGTACATTTTGTTGACCGTCCTTCTGATCAGGGCTTCTTTACTACCCGGGGCAGGTGACGGTGTGTTGTATTACATTACCCCGAACTTCAAACGACTGGGAGAACTACAGGTAATTACACGCATAATTAACGTATTGCAGTGTTGCAGTGTGTGAAGGGAAGAACCATGGGCGGATTGGTCGAGTGTTTAACACTCCGGCCTTCCACGCAGGAGGCAGGGGTTCGATCCCCGAAGTCGTCGTACGCATGGGTATTCAGAGAAAGTGTTTTTCTCCTCTTTTCTTCTTCTTCCCTGTAGCTGTCAAGTGAGGTGGCACTAATGATGCCGTTGTAAACACGGTCCCACTTCAAACAGAACACATAACATCTCCAGCACACACGCAGGCATACACACATGGGGAGATATTAGCCAGGTGGCATAGGACTAGTAGTTAGCGCCTGATAAGGCGGCGCTCCTGCGAATTCCTCAAAATTGTATTGGTTAATGTATATGCTAATTGTATAAGTTGTATATATATGTACTGTAAAGCGCTTTAGAGTGGCTTATGTTAGCTAAAAAGGGCGCTATATCAAATGTGGTATATATACAGTTTGAACATATGAACATATCTAATTATGAACAATTTCTTCGCACCAATCAATTTACCAATCTCCAATTTACTGAAGCAAGTTTATGAATATCAAATTCAACAAAAAAAGAAGAAAGCATTAGTTAACTTTTCGATAAAAAAATAATTACCATAAATGAACGTAATCTAAAAGCGTGTTCATGATTTCATATTGACGTATGCCCTTCCCATTTTCCATTAACTCTATGGAGAGCCAGACTGCTGTTACATAACAGTAACTACAGGCTGACTTGATGGCGTAACGATACGGTTGCTACTGCCAATTTAACAAACAAAATGGTCGCATTGATACCCCACTTAGTTAAACAGGCAATCAAACATTTCATTTATAAAAAATATACAGTTATATTTAAACTACAATACAGATTTTTTTTTTTATAAAATTATTACATATTTTCTTTTTTATTAAAATAAACAAACAAATAAAATAAAATAATTAAATATTGTAAAATGATGCATCATCACAATCTGTCATCTGCTGTCGTCTGCTAGAAACGTCATGGCTTCCAGCGACTCTGAGGGCGATTTAGTCGAAACAATTGTAGATCTAGGCCAATCGGAAACGAATTTTAACATTGAACAACGCGCAGGAATGCTAAATAACAGCATTTCATCCAGTGACGAAGAATTGTTACTGAATATGGACATGGAGACCTTGCGAATATATCAAGGTAGGCCTACATGAGTTGAAGTTTAATATTAAAGTTGTCTTTTGATGATTTATTCACACCACGTAAACTTGGTAAAACAACTTTTAAAAGAACACAAAGCTGTTAGACCTATTGAAACAAAGTGTTTTTTTTTATAATCACAAACAATCACATCGTTTCAATGTTACATAATGGAAAGATTCTTTTGACAACAAGGAATGGCAATGTAGTCTACGTTGTTTTTTTATATACTATAATAGGCCTATACAACTTTTTAATTTTAGATTGGAACACAGAAATATATGGGCAGGCCATGAGTATGGAGAAGGTTTCCCACTTAGAATTGGCAGCAGCCCTGAGCAAATTTTACGTTGAGGCGAGGCCAAAGTCGGCGGAAGAATTGTACCATAGGAGCACCCTCATAAATATTAGGGCAGGAATAAACAGACATCTAGCGGATCTTCAAAGAAATGTTGACATTGTTAAAGATAGAGATTTCAAAAAGCTAATAGTGTTTTAGACGGGCTTTTAAAAGAAAGGACACGCACGGGACAATCAAAACCTGTTCAACACAAACAAATTATAGAACGAGATGGGGATTTGGAAAAAAAAAACACTTACCTGTCACGCGCCTCATCCTGTCCTGTTATCCTCCGTCACTATGTCTGGAACAATTTATCGATGCATTTCGTGACGCGAGGTATGGAATTCCATCATCAGTTACGCACAAATTCGTTCCGGTTTGTAAATGACGAAAGTGGTGATTATGTCACACTTAATTTTGAGACCCAACAAAAAAATTGACAAGGGGGGTTAAATTCTAATTCCGAGAGTCACGCTTCAGAAAAAAGAATGTATGCAATTCCAACTGGAACGTCAACAGTTTGTCCGGTAAAAATGCTGAAACTTATGTTGGAGAAAACGGACAAAAACGCCACACACCTTTTTAATCAGTATCGGAAAAATGCAGTGTCCGCACCATCGTCCAACGAGATTTGGTTTACAGACAAAGCATTGTCAAAGCGAACCTTTTCAAATTTTCTTACTGAGATCTGTCGTGTTTCGTCTGTCGTCAAACGGAACACACCACGTTGTGTCAGGGCTACGGCGATACACTACCTAAATGATGAAGGATTCCAGGCTAGGCACATAATGTTCATGAGCTCCAACAAATCGGAAAGTTCATTACGATCCTATAATCGCAATGTTTCGACAGCACAAAAACAATCAATCAGCACATCGTTGTCAGCGATTACAATTCCCGTTTCGAGATCCCCACAACCGGTTTCGTCACAAACAGTGGTACGTGTTCCGTCTTCACCCATTTTTATGAAAGAAAATCCTCTGCCCTTGGATACACTAGCACAGAACACGAATATTAATGTCCAAACAAATACAGCTACACCTAGGTTCTTTGCAAGTTCGTCTTTATCCGGGTGCATATTTAACTTCAAGAGGGGGGTAACCCACACAGTTTCTGAATGCCCGAAATGAACCTGACGATGTCACGGAACCGCGTCACTGATATGTGCGTTTGCGCGTATCTGTAACTTTCTAATTGTTTGTTTTTGCTGAATAATTAATTGTTTGTGAAAAGATCTTTTGCAAGTATTATTTACAATTGTAGTAAATAAACAAATTAAAGAATTATATTTTTAAGACATCACCCAGATTGCATTCATATAGGCTGTAACTACAATCTGACAGACGTTCAATCCTTAAATATACCAGTACATGAAATTTACTCTAAGTGCTCAAATATTGAGCTCGCTAAGATATCAATGTAACAATATTAACTATACGTTATTTGAGTTACTTCCCCTGCAAACAAGTTTACAGTTTGCCCATTCACAGAAGATCGATATTTGTTATATAAAATGGTATTTTTCTCACTCTTTCCACATTATTTTGTCATAGGTAGCCTATGTTTATTTTGTTTTTGATATTGTTTGATGAGTTAAATTCGTACTTGTTTTTTTAAGGTTCTGATTATTTCAACTTATTTTGCGTTTGCAGAAAATTAGGTTACAGGAAACGCGTATAGACATCCAGAAACCGCATCAAATTCCGAACACATGTAGACACCGCCATGATTTTACAGTATAAAGATAAAAACAAACGTAAACACGGCACATTTTAGTTTCCGGATTGAATCATTTATTTTGATTATTTACTTTTATTCATTTCCTTGTCGTTTTAAATGTGACTGAATACGCAATATATAATTTGTATGTTTATGCAAAGACGTGGAAATTAACTGTAAACACGGCCAAGACAAAAATTGTTGTTTTTAGAAATGGTTGCCGGTTACGAAATGATGAGGTGCGGTCTTACGATGGAAAACCATTAGATGTTGTTGAACAGTTTACATATTTAGGAGTTGTTTTTAAATTTAACAATAAGTTTAATGCTGAACAAAAGCAACTATCTGAGCAAGGGCGAAAGGCTATATTTGCATTGTATGCTAAATGTAAAAATATGAATCTAAACTGTCATACGTTGGTAAAGTTATTTGATACATACGTGAATAGTATACTGTGCTATGCATCTGATGTCTGGGGTGCATGCAAAGGCAATGATGTCGAGAATGTCCATTTAGAATTTTGTAAAAGGATTTTATGTGTTAAAAAGTCCACTTGTAATGTTATGATTTATTTTGAACTGGGTCGATTCCTTATTATATATACCCGGCTTTATAATATGATTAAATATTGGTTCAAGTTATTGAATGCCAAGAACTGTATCTTGAAAACTGCCTATGATGAATTATTGAAAATGCCCAAGCGTAATAATATTTTTATTGGTTGTCCTTTGTGAAGGATAAACTTTTTTCGCTCGGGTTTGGTGATGTGTGGTTAAATCAAAATTTTCGTAATATATGTGAGGTTTTACCACTTATTAAACAACGAATTTTTGATCATGCTAGACAAGAACTTTCTGAAATGTTAGAGAGTTCAGCAAAATGTCACTTGTTATTGTATAGACATTTAGTAAATACTATATCATTACAACATTATCTATGTAAATATATACCCAAGAAACATAGAATTGCACTTACAAAGATACGTTTGTCTGCACATACATTGCATATTGAAACAGGACGACATAGAAATATTTTAAGGAATGAACGCTATTGTAAAATATGTAATTATGTAGATATAGAGGACGAATATAATTTTTTGCTTATTTGTCCTATATACCAAGAGCTCAGATCAAAGTGTGTAAAAATGTATTACTGGAGAAAACCATCTGTTCTTAAGTTAATACAATTACTGTGCTCAACAAATGTAAAAGAACTAACCAGGTTTAGCAAATATATATATGATGCCACAAAATTGAGGAAGACTATGATATAAGGACATTTAAATGTGTCAAATCTTTTGTCCATTCTCCACTGCGTTTTGCAGTGTCTGCCAATGTATTTATACTGTTACATGTACACTGATGAGCTGGAAAGCTTAAAGCTAAAATAGAATATATAATATACTTAACTTATGGTGATCAATGGTTAATAAATAATAAGATTTACGATTTATATATATGTACATTTGTGAGTGAGATATAATACCTGTTAGACGAAACTTGCACATGAACTTAAATGCGTACATTGCTACTAATATATTATCTCAACCTGTTAAAGATTAGGTTGATAGTTAATAATTATTTATAAAACAACATGGGTGAGTATATGTGTAGAGCGAATGCGGATTATTTTAGATATTATTAAATACTATGTATATAATTATTAAAAAAAATAAAAAAATGATATCAATGTTTACAGACAAGTAACTATTAGGACAATTACTCTGTAGGAGATTGCCTTTTTGTATA